ATGTGATTGCGAAGAATTTCATCCTTTGCAAAGGAAGTGTGAGTGTAAGTTGGATTATCAAGTGTAGAATTACAGCCAAGCTCTTGTAATAATGACACAAACAAAACTACATGTATATTAATAAAGACTTTACCAGCTGGAATCATAACATGTTGTTCATGTACAAATGTAGTCTTACTTTTTTTTTTCTTTTATCACTTCCTATTTATTGAAAAGAAGGTTCAAATTTTGCCTTTCGTCGTCGAAGACGATTATTTAATGTGAAGATAACGAAGAGTGATCATTCTCAAAAGTCCAATTAAACAATACAAATTATGAACAGGGCAAACACGGACCTCTGAAAACAGAGGTGGGATCAGGTGCCATGGAGGAGTAAGCATCCCCTGTCGACCGGTCACACTCGCCCTATGCCCCTTTTCATGATCGGGCGAACGGGAAAATTCTGTAAAAAAAGAGAAAAAAACTTGTACTGGGCAACATTCATAATCACAAGCCCTAGTTGAAGAATCTAAGAATGAAATTGCTTTAGCTTCTTCAAATAGTCCATTAAAAATTTCAAGGGAACCGAGTTTAGTGGGAGTGTGATGAAGACGTTACTCAAATATTTGGTCTATTGTAAGATCGATGTCCACGAATACGCTGAGGGTGTATTGTTAAAGTCCCATCATATTCACATAAGCACACTGTGGGTTTGAAAAATTCCCTACAGTATTTATATAATCGTTACAACTATACAGAAATGCAGTGCTTAGCATATCCTAATCCAGTATTCTTCTGGTTGGCTACGGAATGGAGTACTTGAAGTGTGACTATAAGTTGGATGATATATTTTTTCCGAAATTCTAACCCTCAATGAAAGAATTAAGTGGCCAGGCAAACTGAATTGTTTATAAAGATGTTGATGGCTCTGATTATTTATTTCAAACCTATGACCCGACATTCTCTTGTTGAGTGAACCCTATGTTTCCTCAATATAAGTCAGTCTGCATAAAGTACATTCAATTCCATGGACAACGTTTGAAGTTTTACAAGTCAAATTTTCATCAGTTTTAGTATAAAAACTTTGTCCACTGAGGTTGCTATAAAACGAAGAATAATTTATGTAATGGATAATGCGTGAAATATATGGAGATAACAAACAGTATTCAAGCTCAAAAGTCCATTAAACATTACAAAATAGGCGCAGAGCAAACACGGACCTCCAAAACATCAGTGGTCGGATCAGGTGCCATGGAGGACGTGCCATATGACGTTTGATTGCTAGATGGGTACAGTCCACTAATTGTTTTCCCATAGGCGGCAATGTTAACGTTTCTTCACATAGCAATGTCCCTAATTTTCGTTCAGCAGTGAGTGACCCCTCAAATCAAAGCACATCAAGTTGTCTTTCCTTGGTTAAAATCTCGAGGTGGCATGTCAGATTCGTTTTCCGCAAAATGCGTCTGTCTGCGTTAACCTCTGAAAATGAAAGTGAAAGTAAGGGAATTCCAGACTTCTCACTGGTGTTATAATACATAAAATAATTCTGCTGATCTTATTGATAAATTACATCTGCCAAGCTTTTTTGCAAGGGAACATACTCCTTATCAAAAAGTATGAGGCTCAATTTAATACATTATCACAGTTTTTTTATTCAGGTCTGCAAATTAAGGAACTTGTAATTTTTTCTGCACTACTTTCTTACCCTACCGATTCTAAAAATAATTAGAGGTATGTACACAGATGATTGAAATGATTTAATTAGAGTAATAGTAATTCCATTCCAAGTATGTATAGCTCTGAAGTTTAGATACTGTTAGTAAGCATTGCGGCAACCTACTTTGACAAAAATACACACTTTGAAAAAAATTTTGAAAGTGCGTTAAAATTGGAACAAATTCAAAGCACTTTGAAATAAAAAAAAATTCAAAGTGCGTTAAATTTGGGACAAAATCTACGCACTTTGAAAAAAAAAATTCAAATTGCGTTAAGAGTGTACATCAAAATTTTTTACCATGGAGGCACTTAACGCACTTTGAAAAAATATGTATTAAAAAATCTGGACTTAGATTTTAGCAATATATAACATTCTTTTGTTATATTTCTTTCGAAAAACTACTGAATTGATCAACCCTCGTCGAGAAAGAGAAGACAGATTGAAGGTCCCTCAGCCCAACTCTATCTTTCCTATCCAAATATATGTATTTACATAACTGGTATGACATTGATATACTTTCTCTCAATAAATCTGAGTTCACATAAAATAGATGAAAAAATTGAGATAAGCTTTCCAGAAATTAAAAAAAAGCACCCTATTGTATGAAAGAAGAGAGACCCAGGGGTCATGTAGCTGATCTTAGCAACAATAGCCAACTGACTATACTTTGGCCACAGTAGCTTTACTGATCAAATATCATACAAATGAAAAAAAAATGTATAAAATGCATAACTAAGTTTTTCATAGCTCTTGATACTAGTCAATTAACTGTAAAAAAAAAAAAAAAAAAAAAAAAAAAAAAAAAAGGCCATCAAATTGTGCAGAAATAAACAAGTTATTATATATATATATATATATATATATATATATATATATATATATATATATATATATATATATATATATATATATATATATTTCTAAGTACTTATCAAATCACCATTGAAAAATCCCATCATATTGTGCAGAAAAACTGTTTTCAATGAGCATATAAACTTTGACCCCATTTTGTCGCACTTCTCTTACCCCTTAGGGTCATATTTGAAGAAAAAAAAAACTAGAAAATTCTAAACAAATTAAAAAGTATAAGGAAGTCCTATGTACATTGATTTTTTACGAAAAATATTATTAAACAATCATTTAAGGAATGAATTTAATTTTTGAGAATTCATGAGGACATGAACTACGACGCTACATGCCAGCATATTTCATGAAGTACATTAGCGCTTTATGATAAATATGCAGGCGTGAAGCGTTGTGGTTCATGTACCTCATGAATTCTCAAAAATTAAATTCATATCTTATATTTACATTATTTTTTTGATGACTTGCCACAATTTTTTATCATTCAAAGATCATTTTTGAAAAAATATTGACATGCCGTGCCCATAAGTGCGTTAACGTGGTCGATATTAACGCACTTTGAAAAGATTTTTTTTTCAAAGTGCCTTAACTTAGTCCGGAATTTAACCCACTATGAAATTTTTTTTTTGATGTAATGCACTTGAGATGCTGATTTTTACATATCATATTTACCAAATGAACATGAATGAATAATCAATTAAGTTGATAATCAGATAAGTTCACGATATGTGACCACAAGATTTACGATCCATAACTTGCTCTGGATGCTAGATTAAGTGGAATATTGTATTTCTGAAAACTTTTAAAAAATTGCATCTAGGAAGTGCATCTACAAATGCAAATCAGTAATGATGCTTCAGGTTTTGTATGTGAGCAGTATTTATATGAGTGATCAGATTCAAACACTTGAAAAAATATTTAAGGTGGAGCTTTCGCACGACCAATCAAGATTCAGATACCGCATATGACCCCTATGTTATAGCAGAGGTTATGAATTTTTGGTTTGTTGAACCTCCTTAAATTATCTTGTCAAAAATATGATAATGTCCTATAACGTTTAAATAAAAATACCAAGTGCTTTAAAATCTCAATAATTTGCTAACACTTTGTCAAAGTAGTTCTCAAAGTGCTACATATTATGCATTCCCTTAATTAATTAAAGACGAATGCATTTACCAGGTTTGCATGGAAATAATTTAAGTACAAATAACGTGGAAACTCTGGCATGGATTAGGCCAGTTAGCCATCTCTTCACTTTTTCATTCAACGTGTTTAATCAACATACTAATACAAGTATGAATAAAGAAAAAAAAAAAAAGAAGTAACGAAGTAACAAGGCTTTATTTTATAATAATAAAGTTTCTTATCACAATAAATATTTTTTTTTCAATATGAAAAATTTGTTTTCATCTTTTATTTTACAATAAAGTTATTCTGTTATAAAATATAAAAATTTTAAATATGAAAATATACATGTATTCATTTCACAATAATTGAAATCAGAATCAAAGAAAAAAATATTTTTTCAATATGAAAAGCATAATATTCAATTCAATCACGTCAGCACAAGAAATAAAAACAACAAAAACAAATCTAAATCAACAATTAATGTTCATAACATAGGCACGTTGCAGCGGTTGTTGTGGAAGCTTTAATTTTTTTCCCCCTTTGCATAAATTCTTGAAAATATAAATTATAATAACAAGAAGTCTGTGAGCCAATGCTCAATAATAATTCCCCCGCTCTGATGTGAATACACAAGTTCAGTTATGGACAAACACAGTGATGATCAGGAAATTGACATTGGATTAGTAATAAAAGAATCCCAACATATGGCATGCCTAAACAAACATTGTGTTAAGATTTCAAGCACCTGCGATGAGTAGTTGCTGAGAAAACTGCGACCAAAGTTTGTTATGTATGGTACAGACAGATGCAGGGATAAACAGAAAGTTGACATCGGATTTGTACCAAAATGAATCCCATTATATGGCATGCCTAAACAAAGAGTGTGTTAAAATTTCAAGCATCTGCAATGAGTAGTTGCTGAGAAAACTGCGACCAAAGTTTGTTATGTATGGTACGGACAGACGCACGGATAAACAGGAAGTTTACATCAGATTCGTACAAAAATGAATCCCACCATATGACATGCCTAAACAAAGATTGTGCTAAAATTTCAAGCATCTGCGATGAGTAGTTGCTGAGAAAACTACGACCAAAATTTGTTTTGTATTGTACGGACAGACGCACGGATAAACAGGAAATTGACATCGAATTCGTACAAAAATGAATCCCATCATATGGCATGCCTAAACAAAGATTGTGCTAAAATTTCAAGCACCTGCAATGAGTAGTTGCGGAGAAAACTGCGACCAAAATTTGTTACGGACAGACAGACAGATAGACAGACAGACAAACAGATAGACAGACACACAAGGGGAAAACAGTATACCCCTCTCCTTCGGAGCGGGGGTATAATAAATGAGGCATTTTTTGTGAGTTGAAAGTGATATGTAACAGGGATCTTGATTTATTCATTTTCAAAGAAAAGTCTACAATTAAGTAAATGGCAACTAATTGTCAATAAAAATAAGGTAAAATATACCAAAAGGTCTTATCCATTATATAAAAACGAAGAAAAAACCTATATAAATAAACAAAAAATATATAAAAAATAAAATTAATGGTATGTTTATCCTGGTATGAAACGTGTACCATAATTCGTTGAACATGTCAAAAAATCCAAATAAATTAATAAATGAACGTCATAATTAATTCTGTTTACGTTTACATTCCATATTTAGCTTCATCATAATTCTAATTAAGAATGAACATTGTTTTTCCCAACTGATAAATTGAGAAAGGCGAATTAACATATTCTGGACGGGTTGAATTATGCAAGGAACTTTTATCTCCTATTCTTTGCAGATTGGTGTCGTATATTAATTTGACTTTTGTTTACTGGCAGTACTGTTCTGTCACATTAATTACAGACACAGTATTTGAATTTTTACTTGTACAAATTTGACACAGTAACCCAGTCCCTAAAGATTTGGACAAGATAGAAACCTGGCTGTTTGTTGCATGTATGTACTTCTTACAAGAAGTCATTACCAGCATGCAAACAAATTATCACATGTAGTACGGTATTTTTAATTCAATCAAAACGGCTGTGAAGTATAACTATTATCCAGGGGAAATGTAAATGTATTGTCCTTAAGGCAATGCGTTCATCTTAATTCATAATCATCGCATTAATTATCAAATAGTATCAAGTTTCCTTTTTGTAAATGATTTTATGTGGTTATGATGAACAATGGTAGCGTAGAATTTGCCAAATAATTTACTTTGAGCTATAATACATTAATACTGCAGTGTAATTCAAACAAACAACTATCTCTAGACCCTTTCATCTCTAAACAATTCTTTTTCATTTCCATTTTCTCACAGGTGAATATAGACTGAGGTAATTTTTGTGGAACGTATTAATACATAGATTTATGTAAACTTTTATAGAAGGCTCATCTTACTATTTACACGGATCTTGTACATGTTAACCTATAACATCTGATCTGTGACATCTATCCCTTTATTTCTCCAATACTTCTTGTATTGTTGTAGATGAAGAGTATTGTCCGCAATCCTTGGGTCCATATGATCGTACTGTGGAGGGTTTAGTTCAGGATCGTACCCTAACCTCCGCAACATTGGTGCTATCTTCGCCATGTTTCTGACTGTGCTGCTAGAGTATGTCCCCACCCATTTACTGAGGGCTTCAAGGTTGACTGGTTTTACCACCTGGTCTGTCGATCTCTCTGACCTGTAAAAAAAAAACAAATGTTATTAATTTAGGCTACATCGACTTCGACAGTTTTTCTTATTCTATGCTGAGCAGATCATGAAACCGATAACGACATATAAAATCATGGCCCTGTGGTCACTCATTTTGTATTTCACTCATAAAGTGTAAAGGTCGCAAATAAATTGATGAAGACGAATTTACAATTACAATTCTTTTGGAGTACATCTAAGACTATTTTTTATAGAATCAGGAAAAGGTAATAGATATATAAATTTAGACATCATAACAGTTTCATAAGGGAAGAGAAAGTCAATGTATTCACATGTAACATAAAAATTAACATGTGACAAAAAGAAACAAAATAGTAAAAGTTTATATAATATTCTGAATAAAGCTTAATGGTGTGAAATAGGTGGCGAACAATGATCGATTTAAAAAAAAAACTACAAACAATACAAATCTGTGTACAAGACATAACACATGGAAATTCCAGAGATAAAATCAGGTGCTTAAGAGGATAAAGCATCCACCATCGACCGGTCACACCGGCAGTGAACCCTATATATTGATGAGGTAGGGGAAGTAGCCCGTAGCCAAATTTAGTATGAAATATATCAGTCAAAATACGACCCGATGATAGGTTGTATTTGCTAACAAGGTCATTGTAACAACTATAAAATTTACGGAATGCCCACTTTAAACAGGGTTGTTGAAATACCTGTAACATCAGCTTAATTGTTAGTAGCTTACCTCGGTTTGAAAACTGATCGTTCTCAGAGCATGCTGTTGAGTATCGAAAAATTTATGAGATACATGTATGAACACCAAATGCAGGTGAAAGTCGAATAAGGAAAGTTGATGATGGAAAACCTGAAATCATCTCGTTTGTCATACAGCTTAGTTGTAAGTCGGCTCTTATAGTCTCAAGTTAGTGAAGCGCATCCAAATATGAAACAGATGTGACAGATTCTATGGTCTTTTATTTCGAGTTCACTGGGATAAATCGAATCGACATATGAATGGAAGTAACCCTTGTTATAGTAAGTGGGTTTTTTTTTCTCTCAAGTAGAAATTTCTGCTTCATAGGAATATTAAACAGGTCGGCTATGAGCACAATTAGTGCCCATCTGATTACAACAGATTTTTGGAAGACCTGTTCTCCATAGACTACATAGATGTATATGAGGAACTCTGACACCCTTTTGATATCAACTTCAGATTTCTTTTTTGTACAATCAGAGTGATTTTCTACAAAGTAATATTGTAGATGACCAATCACAATATATGAAAATTTCAATTCCATTTTTATTGAAGAAGCAGTTGTTTATGATATTAAAAAGACTATTTTAGTTTATCATGAGGAATGGTTCTTCTTTACCCTACAACTATAGTCTTGCTGGACACCTCATTACTGGTGACGCACATACAGTTCATAATGAGGACCTTAAATTACCCATTTTAAAATGGCCAAAATTTAGGGAATCTCGAGCTTTCAACTGGCGTCATAATTTCATAAATATTATGGATTCTGTGGAAGATTACGCCAGGCGATGGGCCAAACATGAAAAAGAAGACGTTGACACTTTGTCAGAATGGATTAAATGTATCAGATGGACGTTAAAATCTCGCGTTTAAGCGATTAAGGGGCAATATGAAAACCATATATCCTTCTGTGTTCAATAATTCAGAGGTTTATATGAAAAGAATTAGATTACACGATCAGCTGGTACTTTTCCCAGCTGGCAAAGCAGGTAACAACATTATCTTTGTTTGCAAGCTTAAGGCTCATTATTTTAGTTGTATTTTAGAGGAATTGGGATTTAATTCTGCAAGTGGTAATCCAACTTATACCCATAGCCCCATTTCTAAGGAGGAAATTCTTCGAAATCATATGTCAGTTTTAAATATTTTTAATATTCTCAACAATCAAAATGAATTTGAATTACCATACTTATACTGGATTCCTAATCTTCATAAAAATCCTTACAAACAAAGATACATAGCGGGTTCTAGGAAATGTTATACCAAGCCTCTTTCTTACTCTTCACTGAAATATTAACAACGGTGAAGGAGAAACTTCAGGAGTAGTACAACAATATATTCGAGAAGTGGTGTAAATAAGATGTGGATACTTAAAAATTCCAAGGAACTTTTTTTAAAAGAATTGAAATCACAAAATTATACCAAAATCAACACTTTATACAACCATTCCCCACGATAAATTATAGTCCAGGCTTTTTGACATCATTGACAGCTGCTTTTTAAATAAAAATAAACTCGTAAATTTACTTACTTTGTCATTAGTCATTTGCAGCATTATTTTGTTAAAAAACATTTCTGATTATACACACACGTACTCTGAAGTTGACATTAAAAAGATGCTTGTGCTTCTAATTAACAATATCGATGTAGTTTTTGGAGACCAGGTCTTCCAGCAATTTGTCGGAATTTCCATAGGAACCAATTGCGCCCTGTTATAAACAAACTTACTTTTGTATTCATATGAAGCATAATTTATTCAAAATCTTATACATGAGAAGAAAAAGACACTTGTTGTAGCCTTCAACTCGACATTTAGAAATATATCGACAACATTTTATCAATTAACAATTCATTCATATGTCGGCTCGATATATCCCAGTGAGCTTGAAATAAAAGATATTTCAGAATCTGAAACATCCGTTTCATATTTGGAAATTTTACTAGAAAAAGACGTTAATAGTTACGTAACAACCAAGCATTATGATAAACGTGATGACTTCAACTTTTCAATCGTCAACCTTCCTTACTTACGTAGCAATATACCCTTTTTACCTACATATGGGGTTTATGTCTCTCAATTGATTCGATACGCAAGAGTATGCTCTACGTACGAACAATTTCTAAAACGATGCAAGCTATTGACAAACAAGTTGATGAAACAAGAATATGAACAGTCTCGTTTAATGTCATCATTTCGCAAGTTCTATGGTGGATACATCGACCTTGTCAGCAAATACAGTCTATCATTAAGTCAAATGCTGACTGACATTTATCATACTAATTGGTAGGCCATTATTTACACACCGAGTTCTCTAAGGATTTTTCCTTTTTTCCCCGATCATGACAAGGAGCACACGGCGGGTGTGACCTGTCGGCAAGGGATTCACACTCCTCAATGGCATCTGATCCCATCTTCGATGTTTTAGAGGTCCATATTTGCTCTGCTCCTGATTTGTATTGTTTGAATAAACTTTTGAGCTTGAACACTGTTCATTATCTCCATATGTCATTGTATAAAGTATAGAAAAGGCATACGTTTGGATGTTAATGACTTAGAACAATTTTGTGATTTCAAATTTTCTAAAAGATCTTTAGATTTTATGAGAATCACCATGCATCTGATTTTCATCTTTTACCGAATATGCTGTTTTACAGTACGTCTGGCGTTTCTCCTTTACAGCAGTTAATGTTTTTGTGAGGTGTAAAGATAAGAACTTGGTAGAGCAGTTGCTGGACCCGGCAATTAATCATTGTTAGAATTTTTATATAGTTTGTGAATCCAGTATAGGCAGGGTAGATCGAACTTACTTCGTTGACTGTAATGTTACAAATTTTAAAAAAGACTGAAATGTGATTTTTAAGAATTTCATCCTTAGAAAGTAAACTTTAAGAATAGGTTGGATTTCCGGAAGTAGTATTTAAACTAAGTTCTTATAAAATACAATTGTAATCATGAGCCTTTCAAACAAAGACGATATTGTTACAAGCTTTTGTCTGCTGGAACCATAACAGATCGTTCACGTTGTCATTTTAACTAAATGTATCATCACTTCCGATTTAATGAAAACGGTAAGATATGTGGTTTACATATTGCCTTTTAACTTTCTAATACGATTTTTTCCATATATTTCTAAAACACTGAATCCATTCTGACAAAGTGTTCAGGTCTTCCACAATGCAATATCAAAAAATCATAACTGGTTACACCTAATTCGGATTAGTAAAAAATATCATAAAACAATAATACAAATTTACTTTTATAAACACATGAAATTCTAAATTTATTTTTAAAAATGCATTTAACGATAAATATTTTTTTCCATTTCCCCTTGTTTTTATATACTGTGAAAGTGTTCGAGAAAGACCCTCTTGAAAACCGACCCCCCCCCCTCCCCTTAATATCGGGCGATATGATGTTTTCCTTAGTTTTTATATACGTTTGGTCATCGTTTTTCTACATTCGTTATTTGGTTACTTACTGTGACAAAGAAGCGCCTCCTTTTTTTCCTATAAAGTCCTGGTGATGGAGCACATTGTTACTCCAAGGAATCTCCAAGAATTTTAATATTCGCCGCATCCAGAGTTCCGGATGAAGACTGAGCTGTTCGTAATACACCGGCATACATCGATGTGGTCCGATGTGAAGACATTGATTATACATCGCCTCTATGATGCTATTCCATCTTTCCAGACATTTCTTTGGATCTCTTAGATCAAAATTGGTTATTGTAATCTTTCTGGAAATTATGGAATGAACACTTGCTCGTCCATCTCTAACCATTAATAAGAACTTAGCTCTAGGGAATAATTGACTGAGGTAAGTACTGTGCTTCAATGTAAAAGGATCTTTGTTACACAGCCATGGAGCTGGATCGCCGTGGTTTTGAATTATTTCCATAATAAATGCTTCCACAGCTGAATCTAACACACGGTCGTTAAGCCCTGCCTCGGCCAATCTGGATCTCTCCCTCTCAGACTTCGTCCATTCATGTCTAGCTTTCAAAATCCTCGGAATAACACGTGTTTCCTCGCCACATCGTATATCCTGATGGGCATCTAACATCACCCTCATCAACGTAGTCCCACTGCGGGGGACTCCCCCGATAAAGATCAGGGGAGCGGTGTTCTGTTCTTGTATTTTCTCTTCAAGTACTTTTGGCTTGTCGTTTTCATTTTGTTGAAAACTGATATAAAGCGTTAGTGCTCCAATCCAGAATAGTATGAGAAGAGTGGAGTATTTTGTCAGGCCTCGCATTCGGACGATAAGGTTTGTTGACAGCGGTTCGGGAACTTCCCTCATCTGAGCTATACATGTAACATCAAAATCGTCAAAAAAAATCCTTTGAAGATTTGACACTATGATTGATCAGGCATAAGTTTCTGTTTTTTAAATCTTTGATCTAGCACCGTTTTAAGCCAATGACCACTTTTACAGATCATGAAATACGAAGATTCCTCATTCCTTCATAAAATTCATACAATACTAAGGTCAGGAAGTTTGAATTTATTAATGGAAAAAGCTTAAGCGTCGTGTGGATTTTAATTAAGAGACCGACTTTATAAATTATTTACAAAATCTCTGCTCAGGTACCTGTCAGGTAAAGTTGTGAATAAACGAAAATGAATTTTGTTAGGAATACAATTTCAACGAAATATGTCATCACCTGGGACGATTAAACAACTATAAATTTGTTATGTATGAACATAGTTCACACATGTATGATTACGCTTACACTTTAGAAAGAAGGCTTTTCTTGTATTTTAACGTAAATATTGCAATGAAAAAAGTTCTAAAAGAATTCTATTCATAAAAAACGTTTCACAAAAATGTGCTCATTATGGTATTTTCAAGCATTTTATCAAAATTTGATTCATTTTCAATCGTAATCATCGTTGTCAATACATCCAGCATCATTTATTAAAACTTTAAACGTGTTTTTTAGTTTCCCCATTAAAAACTTCAGCTTAAGATAATTTTATTGATTTTCATACAGTGATTCTAATTTTTTAATTGCTGACCCATAAAATTCTGTATTTTTATTCAGTTTTGAGATCAATCATTAAGATAACAGTAATTTTACCAATTGTTTTAATGAGACCATCATAAACAACACTTCATGTCGCATGAATGCAACTAATTTTATTTTACATTGTTGTATTCAGTGAAGAAAAAAATTTATCCCATATTTACCCCTTTATCCCGTGGATATGACTCATCGGATAATTTTTTTATATTCCACAGTTAAGTGCAGTTGTGACGTCACAATGGTTTTTGCGTTAGAGTGATGAAGTAGAATAAAGTGGAGTCCTATATAAAACAGCGTTAAACATTGGTTGTGAAGTATTAAACATGGGATAAAAAGAATCTCCCATGATTTGTAGTTGGATATGACTTTTATCCCACTCGTTGTGTGTTTTTATCCCCTCGCCAAGGCTCGGGGATAAAAAAAAAAACCCACATAACTCGTTGGATAAAAATCATATCCAACTACAAATCATGGGAGATCCTATATATATATATATATATATACAAACAGGCATAATTCAATGTCATAAACAAATCTTCAGTTCTGTCTTTGAGATTTTTACTGCAAGTGGGCGGATTCAATTCCCCTTAAAACAACATACATGTAGCCCTTACAGATCTCTACATTCTGATCACGTGGCTATGCACTTTGTCATGTTTTACACTTTGGGAGGATTATGCAGTGATCATATTTGGCACACTAGATTTCTTAACCCTGATCTGGAAGTTGTTCATGTAACACTCAGGACACGCTGAGTCCTGTCATTGCTCCAGTGTTTCACGTCACTCTCTTGACCTTCTTTTCTTTCCTTCTGTAGTAAACAATCTGACCTGTGATTATGATGTTCAACAGACTTGCCTGGACGAAGGTGAAGATCATTATTTTGTCCATGGTCAGTAGAAGAGAGGATGTGAACCTCCCGAAACTTTGGAACGTGCTGAGGAAGGCTGTGGCCGCGGACAGTTGACCAGTACCATGGTTCTTATAATTCGTGTAGATTTGCATCACCTGGATAAAGAGATGTGCGAGATATGAAGGTAAATGTACATGTGATTTAGAGATTGGATTTTATTTGATTTTTTCCTGATATTAATAAATCAATTTTTTTACATCAATGATTTGTATTTTTGTACTTGTATATTTGTATAATCTGTAGAATTATAAGAAAATATCTTTTTAAAATACCATAATGGAGACTCATGTGCGGGGGCATGATGAACAAAATTCAAGATAATCTTATTAATTCGATAACCTGTCAGCATATCTTTAATCCGATAAACTGATGTAAAGTTCATTTAGTGTAACAACTGATTACACAAATGGACATCCATAATGAACTGACCACAGAGTAAAGCATCACGTGCGTAATAGTCACGTGATAATACTGTACCGTAATATTTATTACAAGCTTATCTTTTAAAAAGATTGGTGAGCTAGCGCTGTAGCATAATATAATACAGAAGAAGATATCTGAACCATTTGTTAAATTTGCTGAATCGATTAATTATAATAGGAAAGCAGATTGGTGCACTAGGGGTTGAGTTGGGGGGGGGGGGCACAATTCAGAATGGTGAATCTAAGAGTGTGCTTCACGTCGGCAATGGCATAACTCCTAACTGTGCTTTAAGCATTCTGTATTTTACAGTAATTTCAATTTCGAGGTGAGTAGAACCAGTGAGCACCTTCGGGCCTTTCCGGCAAGCTCGGAAAACATATCCGAGGTTGCCGCGGTTTTCCGAGCTTGCCGGAAAGATCCATGAAGGTAGATAAGAAAAGCTTGCATTCATTACAACTTTAGAAATAACAGTCTTGGTTTTATAAAACCCGAGTTACTGTTACTTTTTGTTCATTTACGTGCAGATTAGACAACAATACACGAAACTTTAGATCATATGTATTTCAGATGATAAACACTAAATTGACATGTCTTTCAGACATACTCTGAGAAAGATTTTTGTTGTTGTTGTTGTTGTTTTTTCCGAGCTTGCCGGAATTATCCACTAAGGTGGTAAAACTGTAAGGAAAGCTAGATATCTAGAATCTTGGCATTATATGGCCAAATTTTTTCCTGTTCTTTTATGTGTAGGTTAGACAATAAATTTTAAAAAAAAATTCAGAATCCTGATCTAGACTGGTATTGACTGTCTCTAACCTACGAAATGTATATCGCGCATATCAGACAGGAAAGGCCAGTGTAAATTCGGATCATTTTCTAATTTTGTATGACAAAACGAAATTGTAATCGTACAGTCTATATTGTATCTACAGTAGTTTTCCCAGAATCCCCGACCGTGAAGTCGAGCATGCGTATTTCAGAAATATAGACTAACGTAGTTGCTAGCGCTCGAGAGCGCTAGCAATTATCAAGTGAGAATTACTATTTGTATGTGTGTATATGTCGTAATTATGCATTCATTTGTACCTCAGGTTTTTGTACCACAGACCTAATGTTATTAAATTTATGGAATTAATGTCAACCAAAAATGAAAAAATGCTGAAAAAATTATGTATGTTTATTTTAAAAATTTATGATGCTGTCTGTCCTCCTTGATATATATTTTCCCCTCTCTTATTTATTTATTTTCCTTTTCAATCATATGTCATGTTTTTTGTTTTGTATATGTACCTCTGACCAGATTGTATATAATGTATATATGTTGTTAATGAACCCCATGTACCAATATTTTGGTTTGGGTGAATAAATTGAACTTGAAGGAAGATAACTAGGCTTTCTAATTATAGTGTCAACATAAAACGTTTTTATTTGTCACTGTATAATGGTCTTTCTAAATTTGCATTTTAGCTGAATGAATTTGGAATTCTTTATATATATGACTAGAATTTTAATTAGTTTCTGCCTCTCGCACTAACAACCGGTATTTCTATGGCTAACTTTCTCTTTTATTTTACATTAATTAAAGCTTAACACTCTAGATAACATATTATTCTGTCTACTTCTTGTTAAATAGCTATTTTGTTTATTTATATAAGGACCTATATATTTTAAAGAAAGTTCCCTAGGTTTATAAGAACATCCAAAGTACATGTGTATAAGAGGATTATAACGGAAATTATGACAGACTTCATTTTCATCATGGCTGAATGTTTTTATACGAATTTAATATGTATTATATGATATCTGTTTTTCATTATCTCAATAAAAATTCATTTCCAGCTGTCAAAAGCGACATTAGCAAGAGGTTTTATGTTGAGCGTCAACAATGTAATTTTAGAACTATGTAATTATATGTTTATTAAGCCCTTGCACTAAGAAATATCTGTAACATGTAACATTTCTTTCTTTTTTTCTTCTGTATTGTCATTCTCCAACAACTATCTTTTTGTAATGTGCAGTACTATAGTATATATATATATATATATATATATATATATATATATATATATATATATATATATATATATATATATATATATATATATATATATAAGGGATGTCAACGAGTACCCGGTTAACCGGGTACTCGATCGAACGTCCGAGTATCGAATACTAAAAATGGTACTCGGTTACTCGGATGTGTATTTTTTTCTTATTTCAAAGTACATATTTTCAAAAAATAACTTAAATATGCGCACGGTAATTAGCGTGTCGTCATCTACACCTGTAAAATACCAGTTATCGCCTGTGGCTGTGTATATACAGTAATTAGTGACCAATAATTTGGTACACAGCTGTTCTCACCTATTGTGGCCCTTAATTTTTGGATGGCTTCAATGATTGTTTTCAGTGAACATCGTTTAAGTATGATCTGTTATCCTCAAATCATTTTTAAAATATTTAGTTAACATGCGACAGCAAAATGCATAACCCACTTCAAAAGTGAATAAATAACTAAAGACTCAAAAAAAAATGTTGTAAAGTCAGTTTGCGTAGTAAGTTAAGTGTAAGGGGGGGGGGGGGGCAAATAACAAATGAAATAATAGTAGACTAGCGATCCTAACAACGTCCGTTCCTTCTGTTTCGCTAGTCTAATAATCACAATGCAAACCTGCGTAACAGATTGTCCTAGCTCCTTTTGCGTTAATGAAATAGATCCTAAACAAGAACTGTAAACCATTTGTAATTTTTATGTATTAATTGTGTTTTTTGTGCTTATTTGATAAATAAAGAAAGGGGTGTACAAGGCGATGGCGGTCCCCCGATCTGAGACAATATATTTCTCATTCATCAAAGTTCACTGAAAAGTTATATTTTTCTAAAATAATGTTTCAGTAATATCATCTTCAACACATTTAATTCAATTATTTTATTGAATGACTTTTTGATTTATTATTTGTTTTTTAAATTGACAGGAAAGCATATTTAGTGGAAAATGGGTTTCTTAGAGACATAAAAAATAATTTCGAATATGAATGGGTCAAGTTATATATATATCATAAAACATATGAAATATGTATGGATAAACCTTTTCCACGGGGGGGGGGGGAGGGTCCAACAACTTGTACATTGTATTATTTGCACTATGTTACCTTAGTACAATACATTGACAATAATAAAGTGTAATCCTTGTCAAATACTGCGCATGTTATCATCATAGAGAAGACTTATCCGGCTAACACAGCGCATGTTATCTCCAGAAAGAAGAATTACAAAGCTAACACTGCGCATTTTATCATCAAAAAGAAGAATTACAAAGCTAACACTGCACATGTCATCATCAAAGAGAATTTGAAGACTTACCCGGCTAACACTGAGAACAGGCATGCTGAGAATGTTTAATGAGATAAGGAAAGTGGTAGGCAGCAGAGGAAGCAGGAGCGCCAGCATAACTACAGTATAGAGCAGCATAAACAGTAGAGCCGACAGAGGGCGTCTGTTGTACTGCAGTAACAGGCAAACCAGGATAACATTCTCTACCATAAACACGAGATTCTCGCCCCAAGTACTGAAAAATACAGAGAAAATGTTTTAATAAATGTTTTTGAACAGATAAACTATTTTGACAAGCTTCAAAGAAATTGGTTTACAAAGATACTATATGCATATAGACAGGTACCGTTGTAGAACAAACTTGTTCTATATAAATATATATATATATATTTTAAAGTTATAAAGCTTACCACAGAAAAAGCATAAAAGCATATATTATAATATTTTAATATAATAAGTTTATAATATTTAACATATTGTATAGAAATATATATACACGTATTTCTAATTTGCTTATACTTAATGACTTACTTAATCGGAAACTGCTTCCAAACGGAGTATGCTACTATTGAGGATGATGCTTCTAACATGAGAAGCGTGCTCATGACATTGATTCCAGAGCCATTCCGTCTTTTGAGAACTTTAAAAATTTGAGGAATTTGTCCTACAATAAGAACATTATTTTATTGAATACATGTGCTTTTCTGGCATGTTATTCGTCAATTAATGACTTTAAGTGGACACTTCCGCAATATTAAGGGACACTAAACATTGAAATCTGTCTGAAGGAGACTACTTTAATGCTTGCTTGCATAAGAATAAAGAAAAAGTTAATTTTAGATGAGTATAATACTCGTACCAAGAATCATAGATCCAATTAATACATAACCATAAATCTTCACCACAAACGTCAGCAGGCATTGTCCTGTCAAAAAATGCTAGATGTAAAATCTAACTTCAAAATTTAAAAAGGAGGTGTGCTATTAAAATCTGAGAAATGTATACGCCGGTAAAAGATGGTATTTGCATTCCATACCGTAAAACAGATATCGCCTCTGAAAGAGTTCCGTGTAACAAACATCGGGGATGCCGACACCACCGATGGCTTTGGCTGTGGTTGTAGAGTCGAACATATTCCAAGCACTGTGTAGGAGTTCTAATAATTCATATACACCGAGTACCACGCTGTCAAACGGCTTATATACCCAATTATGGGTATCATTCATAGTCCACAACGTCTGACTCCGCGATAACAAATAACACAAGGTGAAATAACAAATTGATAACTGAAAATATCATCCGATATATACCCGCCACTATAATGGCCTTAGTCTGTCCAGACAAACTATAAACACTACTTAACGTTGTATCAGCGAGCGAGCGTTTAGAATGATGAAGAGTACCAAAGTCCACATCACTTGTGTAAACAACAACAGGTTTACTAATACGTGGTATTTGTAAGCTTCTTAATTACAGCACAGCTGATGTTGTGTATTTTTGTTGTGTTATGAAATTTACGAAAGTTACATTTGATCAAATACCATTTTGATCCAAGATTTTTATGGCGGTGTGACTTTTACGACTTACGACTTAACAAACGGAGATCGTGGTACGGAACCATTCACTACGACTATAAATAATACCTAAAACTAAGTATTTGATCGAAAAGAATTAATTAGCAATGTAAAATGCTCAAAAGAGTAGATTTGGCATTAGAGCGTTGACTTCTCCAAAGTGTCCGACTTTGCATTTTGTTTAGCATGTGTTTCGATCATGTCGGTAAATTACTGTTTGTTTGTTTGAGATCTAACTTTTCTGAAATGCCTCGTTTTCATCATTTACATAAAGAAAATACATGTAAATCGTTTAACCTAATAAAGATGTCCTTCATCGATGAATTTACTTTTCATAAGATGAAGCACAGTTTCCAATCGTGAAAAAGAATGATTCTTGTAAAAGTAGTGTATACAAACTTGTTTAGAACACATAACATGTTGATATTTCAATGCTAGTACTTGTTCTATTTTATATCTTTTAACGCTTTGATTCATGCATCCTGCTCATTATAGGGAATTATGTAATTCCCAACCTTTAGGGGTTGCACATGAGCGAAAAAAGTTAAAGAAAGAGCATCGCAAATAAAAATTTAACTGAAATTAAAAATATAATCAGACAAACGTTGACTAAGTATACTGTAAAATCACATATTTTCACGGGGCAAAATTTTCGTGGGGATTTGATTCCTTGGATGAAGAAGTGCTAACTTGTCATTTATTTGATTTTTTACATCTCGTGGTGGACATGAATTGGTGGGTCTCTTCATACCTCGATATCAACGAAAATTAAACCCCCACGAAAATCACTGATTTTACAGTATTCATTATTTGGAGATAGATTAGTTTTGTAATAAGTATATTCCATAACTGGTACAACTGGGACAATTTGAAATATTGTCAACTTTAAATCTTAAAAAAAAAACTTTCGCTTTACCCCCCCCCCCCCGGAAATATAACTTTACAAACGACATTTAAAAATAAACAGGCTTTCTTCTCAGCAGGCATTGATAGTACTGCTCAATTTAGCAAGTTTTGGTGTTTTATTAAAAAATTATGAAATTATGTATTATGAAAAAATACTGGTTAGTGTGGATTTCGTGGTTGAAGAAGACACATGAAACTTCATTTTTAACTTTTTTGTTTAAAATTCATGGGTCTGTTCATCCACGAAAGCCTCAAACATTAAACCCAACAAAAATAAAAATGACATTAAATTCACTTCTAACCCCTCCTTCCTGCACGGTTACACCATCAGCATTCTTTACCATGTCTGTGGGGTTTGTTCACTGATTATTATAAAGTCTAGACAGACCATCCACTGGTGATAGCTAGAACATATTCTATAACAAGGTCTTAGAGTGACTCGCACTGAGCAAGGACGTGATTTGTAGATATAGGTACACGTACACTTATAACAGCTGTTTACAGTGATGTCTCCATCTATATATGATTTACAAAATAAAACATAGATAACTCAGATAACATTTAGTTTGATGTTTTTTTCATTAAAGTTATCGGATATTGACATTGCATTATGTACAGTAACCGATTATTTTCTTATATATATGTCATCTCGAACGAAGTCTGGTGTCATATTATTGCTCTAACCTTAACTCAACAGGAGGGTTTGAGGGTTTGTTTTTCTACACCGATGAACACAATGAATCCAAATGCAACAATGAATCCAATGAATGCAATGAATTATAGTGTTTCCCCTGTAGGTTATCAACCCCAAAACCCCTCCTTAGCCCAACCAGCGGGATTTATAACGCAAACTGATTATGGAAACAAAATTGATAATCTTGCTCAAAAACTTGATCAAATGTTTCAAAAGTTGAATAAGCTTGACAAAATCGAGTCAAAAATTAATTCATTTGAGCAAAAAATGGTAGGGGTTACCACCGATGTGACTGAGTTGAAAAGAACTGTGAGTGAACTGGAAAAAAGTGTGAAGTTTACCGCGGTGATAAGGTAGATGAGAATGAGGTCATTGGTAATGAAATTAAAGACAAACTACAATCCATTCAAATCCTTGAAAGATCAAATGCTAATTTAACTGCAGAATTGGAAAATCTGAGTCTTGAAGTGAAGGAACTTAACAATCGCTATGTTGAATTACAAGCTCGAACAATGAGAGACAACTTGATCTTCTACGGAATTCCTGAGTTTCGAGATGAAAACTGTGAAGAGAAGATAAATGCATTTATGCAAGAAAAACTAGAGATAACTCAAAAGGTAGAATTTCATAGAGTGCATCGGATGGGAAGGAAGATACCTGAGAAAGCCAGACCAATTGTTGCAAAATTTGTTCTGTTTAAGGAAAAGGAACTGGTAAGGAGGGCAGCCTATAAATTAGCAGGAGAAGAAAATAAACAATTTGGAATTAGTGAACAATTTCCTCGTGAAATCAACGAAAATAGAAAATTTCAAATCAGCTAAGCAACAAGAGAGGAGAGCACAACTCATTTGTGATAAACTTTACATTGATGGGGAACTTTTCACACTTGATGAATCAGACGAGGAAGAAGAGCATGGTAACACAGATTTAAATTTGCCGCCTCGACGACGTACAGACTCGCGTCTATCAGCAGCGGCTCCAGAGTTCACACCGAGACCCAGGGGTGGAGGCCGAGGAGGATCGAGAAGAAAGTCGGGACGTAGGAAATAGGAAAACCATGGAGGGTGTCAAAGAAACGCGTCCGAATATCTAAGTGAATCATCAGACTCTGACTCTCTTAAAAACTTTAACAACCAACTCAATGAAAATGTCAACACAAAATATCTTGATACCGTGCTGAAAATACTTTCTATTAATGTTTGCGGTATTAACAGACGCCTAAATTACCCTGAGTTTCTAGAACTAGTGAACCATTACGATCTTGTGTGCTTCACTGAAACCAAAACAGATGACCTTGACAGTGTTGAACTGAAAGACTACGTATTGTTCGCTAAAAATAGAAACGTATGTGCACGAGTTCGATCGGGAGGTCTAATTGTCGGGTTTCGTAAAACCTTATCGGAATTCATTACACCAATAGAAACTGATTGTAAATTTGTTTACTGGTTAAAGGTGAAGGGTGAACTGTTTAATTGTAATAGTGATGTTTTATTTGGTATTGTATATATCCCCCCACAAGGTTCATTATATAGCTCACCAGAGGCATTTGATGAAATAGAACTAGAGTATTTAAACTTAATAAATCATTTTGATTTTGTTTGCTTGACAGGCGATTTTAATGCAAGGGTGTCTGAAAAAAAGATTATTTTGAAGAAAATGAATTGTCTGAATTTGAATTATCCTTAAATGAAGATTGTGATAATTTAAGTGATGTTAACAAGTTGGGTAAATATAATGTAAATATTAACAGAAAAAGTAGTGATAGTAAGACGAATGCTTATGGATATCAGCTACTGAATTTTTGTAAGGCAAATAGCTTATATATAATGAACGGTAGAGTACCAAATGATGAAGAAAAGGGGAATTTTACAACTACTAGGTCAAGTATTGTTGACTATTTCATATGCAATGCTGATTTTTTTCAATTTGTAAGACACTTTGAAGCATTAGATTTTAATTGTTTGTACTCAGATATCCATATGCCCCTGGCATGTCATCTAAGTATTATACGTAGTGACAATGAATTAGAAGGTATGTCACAAAGAAATTTACACGAAAGAATTAAGTCGTGGGACTCCACTAAATCGAATGATTTCTGTAATAATATAAGTACACCAGATCTACTAAATATCGAGCAAATTATGGACAACAAAATTTTAGACCCTGATAATATAAGAAAAGACGATGTTGATTTTTTGTTTAATACCACAGCTGACCTATTACTATCCTCGGCCAAAACAACATTTGGCACATTTTTACCTCGCAATATTGATGTAAGTAGAAACAAAAGAATAAAACAATGGTTTAACCCTTTAACCCCCAGAGACGCATTTGGACGCATTTTCAGCATCATATATATTTAACTGTTGGCGTTTTCTAAAGATTCGGGTTACAACAAAACAATTGATATTTTCTGAAACTAGAGAATAAACTTAACATTTTTTCTACTCAAATTTTTTCTGTGCGAAGTTGACAAATTATCATAAACTTGAATTGAATATTGCATATCATTGCAGAAAGTTGATAAAACTACGCATAAATGACTGACTTTATGCTATCTTCTGTTGGCTTTATCTTGATTACAAACACAATAAAATAAAAAGTGAATGCCATAATCTGAAAGTCGGGAATTTTCCCTACATTTTTTATTCCTGACATTATAAGGTACGTGCATCCGTTACAGAGATATTTGTTGTTGAATATTTGAACTTTTACGAGTAAAACACACAAAATGCACTATGACGTCATTTGTCGTTTTACATGCACAATGACATCGTTCATGAGCACAGTGTAAAAACAAACTGATTCTGTTGATATATGGAACAGATTTATTTTTGAAAAAGGAATTATTTGTAAAGAAGAGTTAATGTACGACACGTTTTGATCGAGACATAAACATGTAATAAAAGGAATTTTCCATAGCTTTGGGAGTTATATACATGAAGTAATAGTCTATGGCCCAACGCCCCGATTGCATGCACCCATTTTATTAGAAATCCCTGTCGAATTTTGTGTCACTAGTCCTACATGTAGTAGGAATAATTAATCAAATTATTTAATATTATCCTCACCATTTTCTTCAGATTTATTATTAAAAATGAAAAAAAATATATATAAATTTTTTTCCAAGTACTTGGAGTACTTTGAAAGGAAAAGTGCATTTTTATTAAAGCAACAGGATAGATAACGCAGTTAGCCTT